CGGCTGACTGAAAGCCGGTTTCTAGGGTTTTGTTTAGCTTCTATATTTGCAACATAGTTGCTTAGAGTTGCAGCTGAGAGGCCAGCAAGTCAGGCGGGGAAGGTTGGAGTCCGCAGTCACTGGAGCAAGCAAGCCTCCCTGTTAGCTTCAAGCTGCCTGGCTGCCGGCCGCCATCTTGGTTGTCAGTTAATTTGCATATACCCACTGATTAGCCAATGGGAAGGGTAGCGGCCGTACGGCTAATTACCATGTTTCTCTTTTATTATATAGGAGATATATATATATATTTTTTTTTATTGGTTTTACAAAATATTTTCAAGATACTAGTAGTTACGCTGCCCCACATCTCACCCAGGATTCCCTGTTGGTAACCTCTCTGTTGATAATTATTACTCGAGTCCATATTTTGTTTAGACTTCCTTACTTTTTATCTAATGTTATTTTAAAAATCATTTCTAAACTTTATATTTAAGAATGGTTTTTGGTTTCCAGCGCAATTGAGCAGAAAGTAAAGAAAGTACACCCCACCCCCATCCCCTGCTGCTCATTGACACTGCTTTCCACCTTGTCTCCATTGTCCACCAGAGTGGTACAGTTGTAGCAGGGGATGAGCCTTCCTGACATACCACAATTACACAAAGTCCATGTTTCTTCCAAGAGTTCACTCTTGGTGTTGTTCAATCTGTGGATAGTCACAAATGTACAATGACATATACTCACCATCATAGTGTCATCGAGAGTATTTTCACTGTCCTAAAAATCATCTGTGCTTGTCCCCTCTTTCTAACCCCTGGTAATCACTGATCTTTTTCCTGTCTCCATAGTTATGCCTCTTCCAGAATGCCATATGGTTGGAATCATACAAGGTAAGTTCATTGATCATCTCCAGGTTTTTCATATCTCTTTTAAAAAGGAAATCATTGTGAAACAGGTTAGACATGATTTAAAGATATCTGCTCCTTTTGGATAAAATTCTGAAGCACACAGATGGCTATGCCCCTCTATACACACACACACAAACATGCACTTACATACATCACACATGTGCATGCTCACCACCTCCATATTTGGGGCAGAAGAAAACATTGAAGAGTGTCCTTTTGGAATTTTCAGTCTCTAACTTATGTTCTTTATCAAGAGTGCTGGTTGCCACCCTAGAAAGTTGGAAAAGTGGTTCTTTTTCTCTGTCAATGTTGCAAGTCACCACTCACGTCAGCTTGTGACTTGCTACTTCTGTCATATGAGGAGGTGAAGATGAGTACATGAAAGGCACCAGAAACAAGCTCTACAAAGGCCTGGGAGGGAATCCAGGGAGAATGGCACCAGGCCCAGAGAGGAAAAGACTAGCACATGTTGTGGGCTATTTAGGGGAAGTGAGGGAGGCAGGAGAAGACTACCAGAGGAACTGGGGTGGCCTCTAACCAGACTCATTTATTCTGCATGCAATCTTTCATTCTGCTGTCATTCATTCATTCTTCTATTCATTTAAAGAGCACTCATGAAGCAATGAGCATGTCCCAGGGTCTTTCTGTAATGGACTGGAATGCAGCCAAGGAGACATGATCCTTGCCCTCAAAGAGAAGGCAGACAACAGGGGGGAAGACAAGGATGTCAACCATGACAATATACAGGTAATGACTATGTGGGAGGAAAGGCTACGGTGCTCAAGGTGGGGTCATCTAATTGAGCCAGGTGCATCTCTCAGGAATTTCTTTTTTAAAAAAATATATTTTATTGATTTTTCACAGAGAGGAAGGGAGAGGGATAGAGAGTTAGAAACATCAATGAGAGAGAAACATCGATCAACTGCCTCCTACACACCCCCTACTGGGGATGTGCCCACAACCAAGGTACATGCCCTTGACCGGAATCGAACCCGGGACCCTTCAGTCCGCAGGCTGACGCTCTATCCACTGAGCCAAACCGGTTAGGGCACTCAGGAATTTCTTAAATCCTTCCTGCAGGGAGTGGGATGGTTGTTGAAAAGGTCAGCAATTGGCCCAGTGCCCAAATTGGCCCAACATTCAAATAATCTTTAGGTCATTGAATGTGAGAGGAGGATATGTATTAGGGATGATGGTATAGTTCAATGCAATCAGTTTAAAAGTATAAATTCAATTAATTTGACAAATATTGACTGAGTGCCTACATGAGCTCAGACAGGGTATGTGTCATTGACTAGGTCCTATAGCCTCTAAAGTAGTGGAATGTATTAGCTGGGTGATGCCAGTTGCTATAACAACAAAGCCCCAATTTAGGGGTATATATATATATAATTGATTTCAGAGAGGAAGGGAGGGAAGAGATAAAAAACATCAACGAGGAAAGGGGATCATTGATTGGCTGCCTCCTGCACACCCCCCACTGGGGACCGAGCCTGCAACCTGGGCATGTGCCCTTGACCAGAATCGAACCTGGGACCCTTGAGTCCGCAGGCTGATGCTCTATACACTGAGCCAAACCGGCTAGGGCTGGAAAGTTATTTCTGCTTCACCTAAAGCCAAATGGTTGTTTCCACGGTGGAATATCACCAACAAAATTCAGTTGTTGCCTCTATAATCCCAATCTTGCTAGACTTTGTGACTGTAGCTAAATTGTTTACACATTTTGGTAGTTTTCTGTCCTGGGCATGGCTAATATTTTTTTCTCAATCTCTTTGGCACAAAATATCAAAGATCAGTTTGCCTGGAAGATCACCTGGACCTGCAAACACTGTCCTAAATTCTTCCATTTGCCACCAGTGGATGGTAAAATAGTGGCACGAGCCTTCTTTCCAGGTGGTGACTATATTGATGATATCTGCTAATAGGCTCCAAGGGAGAGCAGGGGACAGCAGCTTAGGAGCAGATTCTGACTCATATGAAAACAGGGGTGTTGAGTCCTGAGCAGATCTGGGGTCAGCCACCCAAGTCAATTCTTGGGGGAACTAAGGACTGAGGCTCAAATATTGATTCCTGAGACAGTAAAGGAAAAGTCATATGACCAAAGGGAAGCCCAGACTAAGTTGGACTATTTGGGGACAGGAGATAATATGTGCCTCATCTAGGTGTTATTGAGCCCTGTGTATAAACTGACCACAGTTTGTAACAAATTTGCCTGGGTAGCAGGTGTGACAGATTTGGGCCACACCAAAGTAGCACTTGAGACTGAGCTCTGCCATATTTCTGGCTGTCAGGGTCAATTACAGCCATATGACATCACACCATTCCTGGCAAAGGGCTGATGAACATGCCGTTCAACAGACATTTCATGTTCCCTCTCGTTCTCAGCTGGTGACATCAGCAAGAGGTAGAGAGGACTTTGAAAGCGTGACTGGGATAGATCGTGTTGCTGGTCTGATCGCTGGATAGACCGTTTGGGCAGTGTTGTGGACTATCTACATAGCCAGATGTGTGAGCATTATAGCAGCTGGTTCTCAGAGGGGCTGCGGCAGCGGCTGCCTACTTCAGTGTGTGCACCTCTGTGATGGGAAGCAGCAATCAGTGATTCGAACACACATCTCTCATAGGTGAGCGACAGGGTCCTCACCACCCATCCTGGCACTCAAAGTCTGTGTGCAAGCTACTCTGGAAACCCATGGACTAGGGTCAGGGATGGGTAGGAGCTGCAGAGCTAAGGGTTGAAATTGAGCAAAGTTAATCATTTACCATGCAAGCCTTCCCCTGGAATTTGCAAGCCTTTACTAGATACCAGAGTTCCAAAAATAGTTACCTCAGACAGATTCTGTCAGTGCCATTCTTGTCCAAGTGGCAGACAGAGATGCTCCTACTCTACCTATTCCCTTTCCTTTTCTTTTGGAACCAAATGGAGACTCCCCTTCTGGACATCACACATGTAGGCTGACAAGCCTTTGCTTGAAGCCCTACTGACAAGGAGTTCACTGCCTCACAAGGAAACTTGATCTGCTATTTATTGAAAGCCTACCATGGGTGAGTGACATGGGCTCCACTTTGAGTCTATCAGTGCCAGGCATCATGCTAATCATAACACCCATCCAATGAGGTGAGGGCAATCCTCGCCCCATTTACAAGAGGTGATGAGGCTAAGGGAGCTCACGTTGCTTCTCAAGGGAGAGCCATATTGAACTGAGGTCCATTTTTCCTCTAACACATGGTGGGGAACCAAAGGAAATCAAGACAGGAGCTTTGTGCACAAGTGTTAGCGATCTAGCTGGGAGACAGCAATGAAATAAATGCTCATTTAGAATAGATATCCTCGCCCCATTTACAAGAGGTGATGAGGCTAAGGGAGCTCACGTTGCTTCTCAAGGGAGAGCCATATTGAACTGAGGTCCATTTTTCTTCTAACACATGGTGGGGAACCAAAGGAAATCAAGACAGGAGCTTTGTGCACAAGTGTTAGCGATCTAGCTGGGAGACAGCAATGCAATAAATGCTCATTTAGAATAGATACGTGGTGAAAATCACTGATCAGACCTAGGGGGGTGCTGGCAGCAGTTCAGGAAAGGCAGGAGGGCCTGTAGGAGCCCCTACATGGGAGGAGAAAAGTGGAGACAGACGTTTCAAACTGATGGTCAGCTTTGGGACTGGTGGTTAGCCCTGGACATACTCTCAGGACTGGCTCTGCCTTCTGCCTTCCCTCCTGCAGAGGTTAAATCAGGGGTCCTCAAACTACGGCCCGCGGGCCACATGCAAATACAAATATTGTATTTGTTCCCGTTTTGTTTTTTTACTTCAAAGTAAGATATGTGCAGTGTGCATAGGAATTTGTTCATAGTTTTTTTTAAAACTATAGTCCGGCCCTCCAACGGTCTGAGGGACAGTGAACTGGCCCCCTGTTTAAAAAGTTTGAGGACCCTTGGGTTAAATAGACACAGGCTGCTTTGCAGCAATCCATTGTTTGTGATGGGGCATAGTCGCATTTCCTGGGCTATAGACCAAGACCTGTCCTTTTTGGTGATTTGCAATATAGCTTGGCCAAGTATACTGTGTTTTGGACTCATCTGAAAAGCTTATTAAAATACACATTCCTGCCCAGCCAGCGTGGCTCAGTGGTTGAGCATTGACCATGAACCAGGAGGTCATGGTTCTATTCCCGGTCTGGGCACATGCCCAGGTTATGGCTCGATACCCAGTGTGGGGGTTGCAGGAGGCAGCCAATCAATGATTCTCATCATTGATGTTTCTCTCTCTCTCTCCCTCTCTCTTCCTCTCTGAAATCAATAAAAATATATTTTAAGAAATACACATTCCTGGGCCTCACCCTCAGTGTGTCTGGGTTGGAATCCAAGAATTAGTATTTCTAGAGCTCCCCACGTGATCCAGTTGCTTTGTGCCCTCAGGCCACACTTTGAACAGTGCTGATTCACATTGCATTTCATCATCAGAAAACACTGGATACCTATCTGGGGGTTTTAGATTGAAACGTTAGGAAATGGTCTGTGCCAAACCCACCCTAGCCTCTGCTGTCCATGTACTAGGAACCAGGAGCCGTGGGATGGGGGACTTGGATCCTCTTCTTACCTGGACACTTAAGGGCTGTGTGATGTTGGATCACTCGCCTCTGTCAGCTTCAGGCACTTAGTTTATCAATAGGAATACAACTGCTGACCTCATAGAGATGTGCTGAGGATTATATGAGGGGGCAGGTGAAAGGCACAGGGCCTTCATAAGAAACAAATGTGAAGGGAGAGGCAGAAATCAGAGTGCTAAGTCCACAAGCCAAGGAACGCCATGGACTGCCTGCAATCATCAGACTCTCAGAGACGGGCATGGATTCCCTTGGGCCCTCTAGGGGAAACCAACTCTGATCGCATGTTGATTTCAGACTTCAGATCTCCATAACCAAGAGAGAATGCATTCCTGTTGCTTTAAGCCACTCATTTTATACACTTTGTTATAGCCACCCTAAAAAAATAATACAGTGCCTTAAATGGTAACTATTTTTTCAAGAAGAAGATATTGAAATAAGAAGGGTTTTTTTCAATAACAAGATTGGAGTCATATTTTGGAAACCATTCTTTTATTGTTCACACTCATATCTGCTATTTGTGAACTTCTTCCAACTACAAGTCTAACTTTCTGTGCAATGAAATGTGACAAAATTCATGTCTGGTTCCAAAGGCTAAACTGAAAATGAATGAATGTGTTACACATTTAAACTCTTAGGGAAGACTCAGATGGTGAAAGCCCCACTTCGAAAGGTGGAAAGCAGGGGCACACTTTGTGCCCTGGGCCCATGAGGGCATGTTTCGGACGCTACCACCGAATCTGTAAACTCCTAAAGGGCGGTTTCTCTTCCAATACTTGGAGACGCTGCAGACCGAGAACCGTGCAGTTGGATCTGTTCACCAGCTTTGCTCATAGAGGGTTAGAGGCTGACCTGTACATACTGCAACACAAACAAACATCCCCCAAACACCGCATTATCTCTAAGACGAAGTAGTGACATCATGGATTACAGAGACAACATATAAACGGTCATGTGACCACTTGTTAAATCTACAAAGGCAAATGTGCTCCCTTTAAGAACCAAATATTAAAGCAACTGTTTTATATATTTGCATTTAACATACACTTTTCATTAATTCAGCAAGTATTTCTTCAGCATCCATATGCCAGTCCTCATTTTTAAGAGCCTTCGGCATTTATTTTTATCTGGACATATCAATTGTTGTTATGTAATTTTAAGACATTATTAATTTAGCTTAAAAAGTCCATTGCATAATAATAAAGACCCCCCACCCACCCAGTCCCATGCTAAGAACATGGTTTAAAAAAAGAAAAGGCTTACTTTTTCATGGGTATATTTTCATCACTATAAAATACAAAAAAAAGTACAATTATTTCTTTTAAATTACTATCATAGCTCAACAGCTGTACCCCCCGCCCCACGTTTTTAGTCTAATATGATGTTGACAGAACCAGTTCAGGAGAAATACAGGTTGAGAAGGAGATGAGTGATGTGAAAATGAAGTGTACAAGGTCGCAGAACTCAGAGTGAAGGGCAGACCACAGGGTCGAAATGCAAACTAGTGAAAACAGCTACAAAGTCAAGTGCCAAGTCCCCGAGACAGAACTGCAAACAAGAAATAAGAAGGCTGGTTAAGGAAGCTGAGGAGAGTAAGCAAGCAGGGAAAAAATAGTTAAATCAAGCCCGAGAAAGTTGGTACAAAGAAAATATCTGAACAGAGATGACCCAGTAATTAAAAAAAAAAAAAAAGAAAAGAAAAAGAAACAAGTTTCATCTCATCAGAGCTCGTCTTTAGCAATCTCTGTGTGGGCAGCAGCAGAGGAAGTGACCCCCAGCCTCTGCAAGTCGCCTGCTCCTACTTACTCTTCGTAGACATCCTCCGAGTCCATCCTCCGATAGTACTTGGCTAGCTTCACAGCAATAATTATAGCCGGAAGTAGCAGTATGGTAGCTTTTCCTATGCCAAACCAAAACAAATTCTAGGGAAAAGGAGAAAACCGGGAGGATTACATGCATGAAGATGGGAAATGGGAAACAACAGTTACTTGGGGAAAAGAATTCTATTTTGCAGTTTTTAGAAATGAGTTCTAATTTCATTCATTGAAACCCACTGGTGAACTTGATAGGAGCCAGCCACCGGGTAACATGCTACAAATTATTATAATTCATTAACTCTTTTTAAAAAGCTTGAAGAAAAAGTAACAGAGAGGGTAAGTGAGGGAGCCAGGTTGACTTCTAGGACATGCAAAATAGCTGTGAGCCAGCCCACTGTGCTGCCAAGGATGCAGCATGGACAGCCACAGGCAGGGGCTCCAGTCCCCTTGGTGAGTTGTTCTGATGTTACAGTGACTAGAACCTCTCTGGGCTTTGTCCCGCCTCTGAACCGTGGACAGCAGCATCCTCACCCTATGACATTACTGTGTGAAGAAGACGTAGCAATGCCTAGTGTGTACTAGGTTCTCAACAAACAGTCCATGTTTATTTTTTTTAACTTTTATGACTCTAGAGAGAAAGAGGAAGGGAGGGGGGAAGAGAGAAACATTGATTTGTTGTTCCACCTATCCACCTACATTTTTTTCATTTTTTAAATCCTTACCCAAAGGTATTTTTCCATTGATTTTTAGAGAGAGTGCAAGAGAGATGGAAAGACAAAGAGAAATATTGATATGAGAGAAACACATCAATTAGGTGCCTCCTGTACACCCGCCCCCCCCAAATCTGGTCCGGGTACGTGCCTTTGACTGGTACATCCCCTTTGGTTTGCAGGCCGATGCTCTGTCCGCTGAGCCAAACCAGCTAGGACTATCCACCTACATATTGGTTGGTTCTTGCATGTGCCCTGACTGAGGACTGAACCCACAACCTTGGTGTATCAGGACGATGCTCTACTAGTAACCAACTGAGCTACTCCATCAGGGCAACAAATGGCCCATGTTTAATTGAACCAATATTTAAGGTAGCTGGTAAGCTGGATTCAATCCTGTTTTGTCTAAAAAGCAATGTTAAAGTATTTTTTTAAATAGTTGCCAATATCCCCAAGTCAGATTTCATAGAGAAATCTGGATTCATGTCTTTTCTTGAAAAGTCTGAAGTCATGTCTCATAACATCGAGCCCTTCCTCCCGCATGGCAGCATTGGCTGGGGCTTCTGGAGGGTGTCAGCCTCAGTCTGCCACGGCCACACCACTGACTTTGACAGCCAACGTTGTTTAAACTTGCTCAGCAATCAGAACCGAATCAGCTGCACCATCAGATGATGCTGTGTGTGCCCAGACAGGGTCTTACATGTGTCCTGCTTTGTGAATCTACAACCCGCCAGGTCCCAGGAGAGGTTCAAGTATTCATCCTGTGCCTTAGGCTAGTCCTGTAGGCAACTCTAGAGCAGTCCTCCCCAGTCCACCGTGAGGCAAAGGCAGCTTGGGTTAAATGACAACCACCCAAAGCCACCAATGACTATTCCTTTCCAACTATTCTGGACAAATAGTTTTCTTCACGAGGGTCTCCTACCTTCTGTGAACACCGTTCTAGTAAGAAACGAAGAATCACAGCTAAGTCTTGGACTTTTCTAGTGAATTAGGTACAAGAACATATTCATTTCCGTTTTAGTTTTAGGTCTTAAATGTAACACACCTGAGCAGAAAACTATTTTATGTTACAGTGTGTAGTACAATCCTGGGGGGAGGAGAATCAAAGATAATGAGGTTGTCGCCTGTCCTTATTTTGAAAGGTGTAATTCTCACCATGGGTTTGGTAACGTAGTTGCACAGAAAGACGTCAAAAGCAGAATCGAAAGCAGTGGCCACAGGTTTGCAGGCTGAGATTTCCTCCATGATCTGAGGGGGAAAGAAACACAGGCAGACTCTGAGCCAGAGCCACGAATGCATGAGAGCCAGGCATGCCGTGTTCCTCTGGCCTGTTTTCACAAGAACGATCTCTGTCCGCTAAGATTCAGAGCTGAGAGCCGGAGCTGAGAGCCGCAGCTGAGAGCTGGTTTCTATGGGTGAGTTCGAAGACATATAAAAGTATGTGTTTGAAAGCAAGGCCCTGAGTCTCTCTGAGCCTCAGTTTCCAGTTTCCTCACTTGTCATTTGGAACAACAGGACCCATCCTACTGGACCCCTGAGAGAATAAAAAAGTACACCTGGGAGAGGATGCGGAGAAAAGGGAACACTCGTGCACTGCTGGTGGGAATGCAGACTGGTGCAGCCACTATGGAAGACAGTATGGAGTTTCCTCAAGAAGTTAAAAATGGAACTCCCATTTGACCCTGTGAACCCACTTCTAGGCATATATCCCAAGAAACCAGAAACACCAATCAGAAAGGATATATGCA